TTACTCATATGAAATGTACGCCGCTCAGAATATAACGCCAACAGTTTTGGATGCTATGAATGGAAATGTTTCCGAATGGTATAACGAATGCGACAATGCCATTAGAAGGTCAGAAATAGTTCCTGGAACTTACGAATATACAACTGCTGTTTCTTATGGAAACGTAGGTGAGTTTGGAGAAGGTTCTTCAACAACAGTAGATATTGCTTGCGACAGGTTTCATATAATTTCTATTGACAACTCTTTCTTATACGTGGAACAAGACATTGAAATAAAACCTTCTGCCAAGTTGTCTGACAAGAAAGGTTGCAATGGAATTTTCTATGTCGGATACCAATATGCTCCAGAAGTTTTCATGGGATATAAGATATATTCTAACTCTGACTTAGTTCAAACAGTAACATGGGCAAACTATGAATGGTTCGCTTTGAGAAACTCAGTACAACCACAAGCTAGAGAACAAACAGACCAGTATGCAACTATTGAGAAAATAAGAAGACTTGACCCTAACGTTCCAGGAGTTTATGTTAACCTTTCTGGTTCAGATGGAAATGCTGCCACTAAGTAAAACTGAAACTTAGAGTTCCTTTGTCATCTTTCCTCATCTTCAGGTTTTTAAGATACTTGCCAAACTGGGCAGGAAAAATTTCTATCGAACTTACTCCAAGCAAAAATAACTTAGTCATTGCACCAACACAAGACCCATTCACTCTTACAGAAGTAGTGGGAACAAATAAAACGTCATTCGCCGACTTTTGCAAAGAACAAAGTTGACTTAGACTTTGGTTTCTCAAACCTCAACACTGAAGTAAACTATTATTTCAATGCTGCTGGAACTGCTTGGGACCCAGTTAAGTTCACATGCGAAAAATTTGAATGCAAGAGAATAGAAAGCAGACTTGCAGTCTATATGTTGGACCCAGATATTTCAAATGCTTTAGCTGCCAAATATATTGCAGTTCCACTTATGTTCCCTATACACCAAATATCTGTCAAAGACTTTGCAGGTGAAGTTGGAAACCAAAGTGCTGACCCAGGTGCAAGAACAGATATTGCCTTAACAACTGCAATGAAACATGCAGATACTATGTTTGTACTGTTCAGACGAACTATAAATGACTATTCTTGCTTCTACAACCCTGGTATTAAATACCATATAAACATAGATGGCAAATATTATCCAAGAGAAGAATATTCTACAGTTGAGGATATGAGGTCATACAACTTGACATTAGATGCTATGAACTTTAACAACAACTTCACAACAACCATTAACCCTGAAATGCAAAGTTCTATTATGCCATATGTGAAAGTATGGACTCATACAGGAGGTCAAAAAACTCAATATACAAATGGAGACCGTTCAAACTTTTGGCTTGGCATTCCATTTGCTGACTCAGAAGACTTTATGGGTGGTATTTCAACTGTTGGTACTGTACAAATACAATATACTGGTGACAGAGACGGTCCAGATGAATTGAAAGCAAAGAAGTTTACAAAACCAATAGCACTTTTCACGGAAGATGCTCTTTTGAAGATTCGTTCGATGAAACCTGCTGGGGCTCCTCAGATTGGCATAACGACAGCTTCCATCGAGCAGATTTTGGCAGCAGGTCAGTAAGTTGTTCTTGAACTGACTTCTCTCCGTCAAATATTGACAGTACGCCAGTTTTGACATAAAATTGTAAGATAAACTTACCTTTAGAAATATCTGTAAGTTTTGTTGTTATATTTTTGTCTGCTTCAAGAACTTTCACCATTTCGGTTATACCAACTTTCTTTGCTTTATGAAAATATTTAGGTTCAGCAAAGACTGCTATTCTATAACATTTTCCATTGTTTGTATAAAGAACTATTCTGTCAATGAACTTGTATTGTTTGTGTGTGTAAACTTTGTTTTGCTTCAATTCGAAGAGATACTCAAATACGTCCATCTTTTTATTTGAAGTAAAATGTCATTTCCGAAAAATAGAAGCGTAAGTGTTTCAAAAGGTTTAATGGCGATGGCAGATGTGAAGTTAAATTCACCAACTCAAACAAACAGTCAAAGTGTTGTTGTCAATGTCAAAGAAAGATGTTGAAGTGGGGAAACCATACGAAGACGAAGATGGTATAACAATTGTTCCTGTAAAAGAACAACCAACATATCCTGAAGTTAGCAGAGACTTAAGTTCTGTTGCAGATATTCGAAACGACTACCAACAACTTAAAGACAAACTTAAAACTCAGGAGAAGATTTGTCAAGCTTTGGGTATAATGTTAAACTTGGTCGAACACAACCCTGTAAAAGTGAACTCATATGTCATCGCACCTCATGAAGTTTTGAAAGAACTATTGAAACTTTTGACAGAGGCAGACGATATAAACATCAAAGAAATAGAACCCGACATTGCTTGCTGTGGTGTTTCATATAATGTCATTGACAAGATATACGTTATGAAAGGAGGTGAAACGTTGAACTTAAAATATAGTTTCCCAGACGTCATAAAAATATTTGACGACCACAACATTTCATTAAAATTTAGTTGCTAAGTAAATGGCAGAAGACATAGTGGTTTATACTATTACGACTAAAAACCCTGAGTCATATAATTCTATAACAACAAACTTACAAAGTCCTCAAGGACGATATTGTAAACTGACCTTAAACACGATGACGACTAAAGCCTGTTTTGCTCTTTTGACACCAGAAGACTTTGTTGTTGTGAATGGTAAAAAATACTTCTTTGAAGATACTTACTCAGATATACCACCAACAGGTTTTGTTGACTTATTTAATACTTTAAGGACGGATGTAACATGTGCTGCAACTAGAGCAGGTTTCATTATGTTTGGATGTCCGACCGAGTTTAGTATAAACGATATGAGCTATAATACAAAACTTATATCTGGTTTTTACTACCAACAGTTTCCTATAACAGGAAAAGGTGTCATACAAGGTTTGTCTGTTCCATTGACTTTAAGTACACCTATTTTATATATTGTTTCAAACTTAGGTTCAAAGTGCTATTCGAATGTCGACAGAAACTACTATGACCAAAAGATACTCATGCGTATAAACAACACTTTCTCTGCTGGTTTGCCTATTGTTCATTCGAATGCAGAGTTTTCAGCTTTAGTAAACTCAAACACTTTAGCAAACATAAACTTAACCTTAGTTGACGCAAACTTTGTTCCTGTAAAACTTTTATGTCCTATGTATTTGTCAATGACGGCAGAAAGTTTCGAATTGGAAGATGCAACTGGTGAAAGTATTGTACTACAAGAACAACTTCAACAACAAATAGCTCAAGAACAACAAATGCAACAAATGGAACAAATGCAACAACAAAGTCAAGAATAAAAAATATTTTTTTTTATTTTTATAAAAATGTACAGAATAGATGTTTCAGATTTTTATGACTTCCAAGCGTTCAGAAATATGTGTCCATTTCGAGACTATAACAAAGCAGTCGAGAATTTGAAACGTTTAGTCATTTATGTCGTCTGCCCAGAATGTTATGTCATGAAAGAATGGATGTTGTCTTTAACAAACAAGAGCGACAATAGTTTCAGAACAAGAATGTAGACAGAACTTAAGAAAAAAAAGTCGTACAAGTTGGCAATGAAGATGTTAGATGCTTGGGATATCTTATTGTCAAAGTTAGAAGATTTTTCAGTTCGTGGTATAAAGTTCTATACACCTTCTCAAACTTCTATTCTATCTTCACTGGATATAAATATGAACAGTAGAATGGAAAGAAAATATTATAGAAGCTTGGTTAGACCTGTCAAAGAAATTATATGCAATGGAAACGAAAGAGTCTATGAGTATATCTTATGTTGGTTTGCAAATCTTACAACATCCAAGTGCTAAAATGAAACTGCTCTCATTATAATTGGAAAACAAGGAACTGGTAAGAAACTTTCTTTACAGATATTTTGTGCAAACTGTTAGAGGGCTATTCGAATCGAATATGACAAACTTAGAAAACATCTGCGGTAAATTTAACTCTTCAATAGAGAATATGAAAACTTAAGTATGTAACGAACTTCAAAGTATAGATACAACAAAAGTTTTGAACTCAGATGCTTTGAAGAGTCTTATAACAGACAAAGTTGGAGTTGTTGAAAGAAAATATAAAAGACCAAAGTTTGTGAAAATGTTGCAAATTCGTCATGGTTTCAAAAATGCTGTTCCGATGAAGTTAGAAAGTTTGACAGAAGATATGTAGTTGTCAGAACGTCAGAGCTCATATGCAAGATACAGAATATTTTGACGACTTAGCAGAAACTTTGACATCTGACTTTTACAACCACTTGTTCTCATATTTCATGACATTAGATATTTCTAAGTTCAATCCAAGAAAATTCCACATACCGAAGAAAGACAAACATTGTTAGAAGCAAACAAGAGTGTATATGAACTGTTCATAGAAGAAAGCGACTTTGAGTGTTTAGATGAAAGGTCATTGTACGATGATATAAACAAGTATTGTCAAGAATATGGTTATTATGGCAGCTTCTAAACGTACATTCTTGGCAATGTCAAAAATCTTTTAGACATACAGAACGGCGTATATACAAAGAAAAATTTTTCTGAGTAAATTTTAAAAATATATATATTTTTATTTTATTTGAAATGTACGCTGAGTTTGTTGGAACAGACCTAGATAACGAAAATAGATATGCGCTATTCTGGTTAGATTGTCCTTATGAAATGTATGAAAAAAAGGCTTTATATGAAGAATATAGAAAATATTGTCATGAAAACGATATAAGACTAAGCTCTAGAGAAAAATTCTATGCTGGTATAAAACATCTTTTCGAAGTTCGGAATGGCAAATATAGAAAGAAATAATTTTTATGAGTAAATTTTAAAAAAAATATTTTTTTATCCGATAGAAAAGATGACGAAATATATTTCAGTCAACAAATATATGTCAGGACTTAAAGAAGAACTAGACCCATTCGCTTATTTGAATGTTTACTTCTACCATTTTGAAAAGTCTACATTTGACAAAGTTTGGAACATCGAACCAGTTAAGTTTGCTATTGTGACTAAAAATGGTGCGAAATTTGAAGACTTAGACATAGAAGGTTTGTTAGCAGTCAAAGAAAATTTTGACAGAAGGTTCTCAAACCTTAAAGAAGGCAAAGCATACAAACTTGTTATACCTTATGAACCAAAGAAAGCAGACGACTATGAATATTATGAGTCTAAGATAGTTGAAGTTCAAGGTAAATTGGGTAAAAAGATTTTAGAGTCTAAGCCAGTGTTTGCTCCTAAAGAGGAAGAGAACATTGACATTGACCCAGAAATGTTCTAAAAATAAAATTTTATTTTTACATGTCAAATTTCTTTTTCTCTGGAACTGGTTCAGGTTCTTTCTTCTCTTCTTCTACTTTCTTTTCTTTCTTTTCTCTCTTCTTCTTCTTTTCTGGTGGGGTTATGTCAAACTTCTCAGAACCATATTTTTGTAAAAGTTCTTTGTCCTTTACTAGCTCTTCTATTCTGTTTTCTATTTCATCTTCAAGAACAGCGCATGTGTCTTCTTTGCATTCTAAGAACTTTTGTTGGACTTCATCTTTCCAAGAGGCGTCATCTCTGTCAACAAGTCTGTCATTGACAAACTTAAAGACTTCTCTGCCTAATGTTTTATGGTTCTTGTCATATTCCCAGAAACAGAACTTTAGAACAAATTCACCTTTCTTGTTTACACTATGTAAGATTTTATGGTCGACAGAAGTTTTAGAGTCAAAAAGCTTGTCTCGAATATAGATAGCGAAATCGCTAGACATTTTCTAAAAGATAAAATTTTTAATTTTTCTAAAAATATGTTAGAAAAAAAGTTTGCTGACATTGACAAGAAATTTGAGAATGTTTTGAAGAAGAACAAGAGGAAGTTAGAAAATGCTCAGATAAAACCCATACATGACAAGTTCCTATTTGCTCAGAATGGTATAACAGGTCTAATTGCACCACCTGGGTCGGGTAAGACTTTCACTTATCTTAAAATGGCTGCACAACAACAAGAACTAGATGAGAAGAACCCATTCTATGAGTTAGTAGTCATTTGTAGTACTTCTGGTCAATTTGACCAAACCGTAAATTCGTTCAAAGATATTATAAAAAAGTCTAAGTTAGTATGTATAAAGGATACTGAGTTGTTAGATTGGATAAAGAAGTACCAAAGAAGAGTTTTGAAGTATAATGCTATAAATGAGTATATAAATTCGAAGTTTAAAGACCCAAATGAGGAAATGCAGAGAATATTAGAGAAGAAACACTTCAGAAACAAACAGAAAGAGATAGAATACATTTCGAAGAAATTGCAATCTTACGATTGGAAGACTTACCCTCATAGATGTCTTCTTATATTAGATGACTTTGCTTCTCATCCTTTGTTAAAGAACAGAGAACAAGACATGTGTCGAATTCTCAAGAAGCTCAGACACTTTAACATTTCAGTTGTCATTTGTGTACAGACAGCCAAGAGTTTAAGTAAGGATGTAAAGAGAATACTTACTGATATCATACTTTTCCCTGGATTGTCCGAAGACGATTTCATGGAACTTATGAAAGAGTCCATGGCAGGTAAGTTTGACAGACATGAACTATGGGAGAAGTACAAAGTCATACAAGACCCTCATACTTCTTTCAGAATTCATATCTACGCAAACAAAGTTCAAATTGTAAAAAGTCAAGCTTGAAAAATAAAGAGTTTTGGCGACCAGGGTTTTTTCACTACTCGCTGTTCTTCATGAAATTTCATACGGAATTCAATAAAAATAATTTTATGTTAGAATGTTAGATCTAACATGTTTTCTAACATGTTTTCTAACATGGTCTAAAACATACAAAATTCATGAAATTTCATACGGAATTCAATAAAAATAATGTTTATGTTAGAATGTTAGATCTAACATGTTTTCTAACATGTTTTCTAACATAACTATTTACAAGCGTTTTACATGGTATATGTTGCGATGGTTCATGACTCTAAACAATTTCGTAGCTTCTATTTCTTCTGTCAGTACATCGAATGTTTTAACGATACCGAAAGTTTCTTTATACTTCTTCTTGACGTCAGATAGAAGGAAATCGTCAGCAGTTGGATAGTTTTTGTTCAGAAATGCTAACATGTTCATTTTATCTTCTGCTGGCTTTTCTGCTTCTTTCTTTAAGTCTGCATAGTCGTTTCTCATTCTTTCTATCTCTTTGACTGAGTAGTTATATTTCCTCATTGCTGCTTTACATTTAGAACATTGCGGGTTCATTTTTGCGTTATATTCTGAAACCTTACCTGCTAAAACAACTAAGGCGTCAATTGCTCTCTTCATCTCGAACATAGCGGGTCTTATTTGTTCGTTCCATACCTTACCTCTTCTATCTTTATCTCTTATTTCCCAAACACATTTTGCAACTAATGAAACAAAGTTGTCGTAGGTCTTAAATTCTTCGGATTTGTAAAGGTCAGAGATGTTCTTATATACCATGTCGCAATCTTTGTCCATAACCTTATGGTTGCAATGAAATCCTAGAAACTCATAGTTTACCTTTCGTATGAACTTCTTTATTTCTACTGAGTCAGTAACTTTAACTTCAATTTCGTCGAATTCAGGAATAGTGAGTTTTTGTTGTTGGATTTCAGGCAATTTGGGTAAATGGTCAATAATGTCCTGCATTTCATAAAGATACTGTTCATTTGTTTCATCTTTCGCACTACAGTCTAAATTACTTGTTAAAAGTTCTTGCTTTATCTTCTGGATTTTTGTTTCGAAAGTATATGAAGAAGGAATGAAGTTTTTCATCTCTACCAACATAGATGTTGGATTCATAACTAACGAGTTTGGTGCTGTTGTTGCTAACATGTTCTTACAATAAAAATAAAAAATATTTTTTTAAAAATACTAACTTTATTTTTTATTTCGGGAAAACTCATGACAAATTCAAGAGGGTAGAAAAGAGGTTAGAAAAGAGGTTATATCTAACCTTCTAACATAAACATTATTTTTGGTGTAAATTTCATGAAAATTCAAGAGGTTAGAAATGAGGTTAGAAAACAGGTTAGATCTAACATTCTAACATAAACATTATTTTTGGTGTAAATTTCATGAAAATTCAAGAGTTTTAGACCATGTTAGAAAACGTGTTAGAAAACATGTTAGATCTAACATTCTAACATAAACATTCTCGTCAAATACAAAAAAATACAAAAAAATGACACTAACTTTATTTTCTGACTTTCACAAAAGACCAAAAATATACGCTTTACATGTATTTTTCAGCAACTTCGTCAAATAATTTTATAGCACTATCTATCTCATCTACTTCAAACGTTTCTTTACCTTTCGTGGGAGCACCATACATCTTCTCAAACTTTTCAAGTAGTTCTGTTTCAGCAGCTCTCATATCGTTAACAAACACAACCTTAACTCTATTGACTGTACTGTCATATCTTTGAGTTATATTATATGTTCTTCCTATCTTATATCTCTTTGTATTGAAGTCCTTCGGTTTCTGAACGATGTAAAGTAAGCCCTCACTGCAACGTTCCGTATCGAATGAACCATATGTTATGAAATTATATCCAACAACTGGGTCAATCCATAACAAAACTATCGGTATAAGACTTTTGTCAATGAGATATGCTGTAGTTCCATAGAATCTTACCGATATCATAAGCTCAGGATTTCTTGTCAAAATTTTCTGAGTTGAAGCAATTCCAACCCAATGCCATGTTTTCTTTCCAGATGGAGATATAATGTCTGACAAAGAATATTTGTTGTATTTCTTTGAGTATCTTACGTTTAAATCACCTATTCTAACCACTTTGGTGTCATTGTCTATCTTTTTAACTGTTTCAAACTCAATGTTTAACATATCTGTTCTTACATACAAAATAAAAAATATTTTTTTAAAAAAACTAACTTTATTTTTTCTATCTTAAGGAATTTCATGAAAATTCACCTGTTGAATTTTGTATAAAAAGCAACCCGCTGTTTTCCGACGGTTGCTATATTCTTCACAAAATGCTTGTTTTGAGGTCGAGCCACTTTTGGCTCCACCTCTTTTTTCAACCAAAACTCATTTTTGTCGAATTCAGCACAAATTTCATGAAAATTCAAGAGGTGAAAAAACAGGTGAAAAAAGAGGTGAAATCTCACCTCTTCACCTAAACATTATTTTTCAATACTTTTTCAGCACTTCTCCGTAGTTATATATGAAAGACAATTCGAGATAAAAGTCGTAGTACAATGGAACAATATGTTGCACACCATTTGTTGTGAACCAAACTTGAAAGTCAGAGAAACTGTTACTAGGTGGTTCATAGAATTTAGAAGCAAAGTCATAAAAGTCCTTACCAATACATAGAAAACTATTGTTGCTTGAACTGAAACTTGCATGACACATAACATTTTGAGGGTCAAACACGTTTCTATAAACTGTCAAATCTGTTGGTGGGCGTATAAACCAGAACGGACCGTCAGGTGGTAATGGTTCGTTCTGGTTTAGTAACCGAAGAAATTGTGCCCAAGAACGTTTGTCTACTTGCCAAAATAAAAACTGTGTATCTCTTGGAGGGTTATTTTCAATCCTTTGAAATGAAACTGTGGAGTTCATCTTGTCATATTCTAGTTTCAGATAGTATGTTCCATTTAGTAAAGAATCGTATTTTTCTTGAAATTCCCAGTAGTATTTGTTTATTTGAGTTTGAAAGTCATTTAGAGTCTTCTCAAGACTTTCGTCTGAACGAACTGTAAAGATTCTCATTTCATCAAATTTGTCTAGTAGACCATCAGAACCTCTATACTGACCATGAAAATATACTGCGAACATAAATGCGTTAGTTCTTTTTGAAAACAAAACTCTTCTAAATCCTATTGCCTTTGCATCTGAAGGACTTTGAAGCCAACGAATTGGAAAGTCAAAGCGGTAGGAGCCGGATGAAATTTCTTCATCTGATATAGTCCTACCAGCGTTTGTAAAGATATAGTCTAACGGTTTTGTATCTGCTACTTTTGTTCTTTGTTTTTCAACCTGAAACATTTAATATATGTAAAAATATATGGTTTAAAAATGTTTTTACTTCATATTTCTCATCTAACAAACATGTTGTCTGACTGCTTGAGGGTTAGGTTGGTACCATTCGAACTTCACGCTTACAATTCCTTCAATTGCATTCAAAATGTCTGAGTCGGAGTCAACCATTTGTTCTCTCTTTGTAGTCTTGAAAGCGTCAAGAAGCATTGCAGCTGTTGCGACATTGCCATGTGAGTAGTATATATGACCGTCCAAATCTGTTACGGTTAGTCTGAGATTGTATCCTTTCTTATTTCCGTCTTGTATGGCAGCAAGTACTCCCATGAAGCCTTCTTTGTTCTTTCCTTCGTCAAAGTTTACTGTAAAGGTTCGACCAGATGTAATTTGACTTCTAACTTCACGATACTTTTCATATGCATATCTTGTTCTTTCCATGGGAGCATGTGCGTCTTCACCTTTTCCTTTTTTCCTTCTCAAAGGATGCAATTGTTCGTCATGTTTCCAGTAGAATCTGGCAAAGCCGTCGTGTCCTTCAACTTGAGGTTCACTAACATCGAAAGGCATGTCCATAAGACGTTCTTCTTCTAACCTCTCTAATCTGTTTGGATAATTTGCGCGTGCTGTTTCTAAGTCCATTTCATAGCGAAGACCAGACAATTTGTCATAGACTTTTATGGGTCTTCCCTTCCTATATTTAAACTTCTTTGAAACTCTCCAACCATATCTTTCTAACTCTGCTTTTATTCTAGCAGATTTTCTATCCATTCTATACGGGGGCATTTTTATAAAAATAAAAAAATGTTTTTTCTTTACTTTACGTAACCGCCTGCTGCCATAAGTCTTTGACGCCAACCCATACCAGCTAATGAAGGTTGACTTGGTTTAGTTTGGAAACTAACCTTTGGTTTTGGTTTTTCTTCAGTTTGTGGCTTCCCTTCTTCTATCGGTTTTTCGTCACTTTTCGGTTCCTCTGACTTTACCTCACTTGCAGGTATGGTTGTGTCGTCAACATCTTCATAAATATCATATGCCATTTGTTTTTGTTTTCCTTTCAACTTTTTGTGTTTGTTGTAAAGTTTAGAATATTTCGACTCTAAGTCAATGAGATGTTCTATAATGAACTGTTGGTCAGTGAAGTAAACTTTTCCATCTGTTGTCTCGAAAGCTCCTTCAGACTTCAATATTTTATTTGTGAGAGTCTGTTTCTTTTTTGAGATACTAGCCGTTCCATTTCTATGAAAAGTGACTTTATAGTTAGGGTTTGTATTTCCAGACCTGGCACTTTCTATTATTGAATTTTTCTCTTCATCTGTAAGTTCTTTGACAGGTTTTGACAATGGTTCTGAACTTTTTGTTTGTGGTGTCAAATCTACCGTTTCAACTTCTTCGGTCATTTCATCTCAGTAAAAAATTTTAGTTTGGTTTGTTTTCAACTGGTTGTTTAGGTTTTTTAAGTCGGTCTAAAACTTCCTGAGGTATAGGGAGGACTTGACAAACACGTGGTTGTGTAACTGCTGGAAGTCGACAAATCCATCTTGAGCCCATTTGTCTCAATGCTGTATTGTTCATTTCATCTCAGTAAAAAAATTTACATTCCCCACGTTTGAGGCGGTTGCGGTTGGTTGTTGTTTACCCACTGTTGTGCATGGTTATATCCTCTGTTAAAGAATCTTTCACCTTGGTCCATGTAGTGCCCTGCTTGGTTATAGTAGTCATTTGCTTTGTTATAGTAGTTTCCTGCTTCTCTTCCTACATTGTCCATCCATCCTTGAACTTTTCCTCTTGTTTCAGGATTTGGAATAAGATTTGCTGCATCTCGTGCTACATCCCAACCTTTCTGTACAGTTTGTATAATAGGTTGTGCTTTCTCTTTAAGTATACCTAATGTACTCAAAATCTTCCTTCCAATTCCAAATGCACCTCTAGCTATTGTTCCCACTGCGGGTAAAAATCTGGATGCAACTCCTGCTAATGCGCCAAATAAACCCATTTCTTACAGGGTAAAAAATGACGAATCCAAACAAGGACCCCTATGTTTCTAAGGCAACAAAGAAAGCACTCATGATAAAAATCTTTAGTTCAACACCAAATGCTTGGTTTATGGATATCTTGGAAAACATTCCGAGGTATAGAGAAGATGGACCACCATACTGGCTAATATTTGTTGGTCAAAACACAAGATACTGTGAAGCCATACCATTACAGTCCAAAAATATTTTAGATGTGAAAACTGCTTTGACAATCTTCGTTGACAAATACCATCCAACAAAACTGACATCTGACTGTGAACGTTCTTTCAAATCAGACGATATTAAAAACTATCTGCGTTCAAAAAATGTAAACCAATATTTCATTGTCGACCAAAACCATTCTGCTCTTGGTGTCATTGACAGTTGTATAAAAATCTTAAGAGACTTAAATCAACCACAAGGTGGTGAGGTAGATGAAATGTCATATGACGACAAGTACAGACACTTCTCCATGGCAAAGATGAGACAAGTTTTAAATATTTACAATAACCGTAAACAAAAAGGTTTGGGAAACCACTCCCCCGAAGAAATGAAAAACAACCCCGACTTAGAGAAAGACTATATATTTAATAGTTTAGTCAAAAGAGACAAACAAGAAAGAATGCCAGGCTTCAAACTTAAGAAAGGTGACAAAGTAAAAATAGAAATACCTAAACGCGACCCATATGAAAATACTATTGACTATGACAACAATGGGAACTCGACAGGTACTCGCATTCGTGTTCGTAAAAATAGAAGAAAGTATACAAGAGAATATTATGAAGTTTTAGGCAAACATGGCAAAATGTACAGACTGCAAGCAGAAGATAAAACTACTATTGTCAGACCTCGTTTCAAACTTGTCAAAGTTCAAGGTGGTATACTTTCAAAGACAGTTCCTAACAAATATAAGACAACTCCTGACGAATATGCTAAAGAAGTTGAAAATGACGACTAAGCAATTCTATACCATGCGTAAACTGTCATGTAAGGTGGCATGTAGTCTTTACTCTGTCCCGTTGTTTCCGAATATCCTGTAATGCGATGTGTATGGCTTCCTCCTCCCTGAGTGTCATCCCAGTAACAATTTATAGCAAACTTAACGTCGTCTTTAACATCATATCCTTTACCTTTTGTCATTCCTGTCCAATCCCAATATCTATGCTTATGCCAACCTGCTTCAGCTGTAGTTAAATTTATGTAGTGACTGTGTGCAGGTATGTTTTCACCTGAAATCGTTTTACTTCCACCTGTTACCTTTGAAGAGTTTGCACAATACAAAAACCTTTCGACTATTTGAGTCCAAGTTCCAAAACCAAGTACTACTTCTGGTCTGGTAGAGTTCATTGACGTATAAATAGAACCTATAGGATATACTGTTTGAAGTATTTCAATCTTTAATGTTTGAAGCTCTGTTTTGTCTGCTTTCTTATATAACCTTTCTTCAAGTTCATTTACGTCAGAGATGCTATGTCTATGATATTTTTGTGGGTATGTTCCTTCTGTCCATGCGAAAATACGTTCTTTTGTTGCATCTACATATCCTTTTATCCATGTCGAGTCTGCTTTTGTATTCCTTAACTCTGTAACACCTTTCTCAAGCTCTTTCAACTGTTGTCCATCTTCCAT